CAGGATGGTCTCCATCTCCTGACCTTGTGATCCGCCCGCCTTGGCCTTCAATATATTGTTTTTAATTTATTTAGATTTAGAGGGGTGGGGGTTGGTGGTTGTCATTACATCATAACCTAGCTACTCTAATGTCTTTATGGGGATCAGATTCTATTACTGTGTGTTCTGTAAAACTATTAAAAGTCATTTGTTAAAAAAAAAAAGGAAAAGAAAAAAAGTCACTCATAATTCTGCCATCCAAATCTATTTTTCAATGTTTTCCTCCAGTTTTTTTTTTGTATTTTTACTTTCTGCTGAGTTGTAGCATAGGTGTGGATTCTATTTTGTACTCTGGGTATTTTTCATTTAATTTTATCAACGCCCCATGATAGTAGGAACCTAGACTGTTTTTTTAATATATATTTTTAAATTATAAGTTTAAATTATAAATTTAAGTTCTAGGGTACATGTGCACAACACATAGGTTTGTTAATAGGTATACATGTGCCATGTTGGTTTGCTGTACCCATTAACTTGTCATTTACTTTAGGTATTTCTCCTAATGCTATCCCTCTCCCAGCCTCCCAGCCCCCAACAGGCCCCAGTGTGTGATGTTCCCTGCCCTGTGTCCAAGTGTTCTCATTGTTCAATTCCCACCTATGAGTGAGAACATGCGGTGTTTGGTTTTCTGTCCTTGTGATAGTTTGCTTAGAATGATGGTTTCCAGCTGCATCCATGTCCCTGCAAAGGACACGAACTCATCCTTTTACATGGCTGCATAGTATTCCATGGTGTATATGTGCCACATTTTCTTAATCCGATCTGTCACTGATGGACATTTGAGTTGGTTCCAAGTCTTTGCTATTGTGAATAGTGCTGCAATAAACATATGTGTGCATATGTCTTTATAGTAGCATGATTTATAATCCTTTGGATATATACCTAGTAATGGGATTGCTGGGTCAAATGGTATTTCTAGTTCTCGATCCTTGAGGAATTGCCACACTGTCTTCCACAATGGTTGAACTAATTTACGCTCTCACCAACAGTGTAAAAGTGGAATCTAGACTGTTTAATTCACCATGGTCTCTCTCCATGGCACATCGCATAGAGCAAAGCACGTAGTAGGTGCTTAATAAAGAGTGATTAAATTAATATTTAATGACTTTAACTACTCTCCTTGTAGCATGCCGATCCTTACAAGATATCTTGTATGTGACTGGTCAACAATGTCAGGCTACAGATTCAGAGCTCAGGCTTGCCAAGTGGCAGAGCATATTTTAAAAGAAATCCTGGTTTTGTTTTTCCTCTGTCCAGCATTGGGCCCAAGCTCTCTTCCTAATTGTGCTGGAAACTCACAGTCTTATTCTAGTACCTGTCAACTCTGTTACCCAGTCTTGAATGAGGCCTTTTGGCCACTTGAAGAATCTTACAGAGGATTTAGGACTTGTATCTTAAAGACTATACTTGGTCCTTTCTTCTACTTTGAAACAGGAGTCTGGATAAGCCAAAGGTTTTCCCAAAGTCACAGAGCCTCTGAGAAGAAAGGTTGGGATGAAAATCTCCTTTCCTGAACATAAGTCTTGGTTCATTTGAATGTTTCTTCTGGGTTCCAATTCTTGCTCTTGGCCCAGGATTAGCTCCTTTGGTCATGGGTTTCCAAATGCCTTAGCACCTCACCTCCCTCCTGCTTGTTGCTGCTGCTGCTGCTGCTGCTGCTGCTGCTGCTGCTGCTGCCGCCGCTGCTGCTGCTGCTCCTCCTGATCCCCCTGCTCCTCCTCCTGTTGCTCCTCCTGCTGTTCCTCCTGCTGCTCCTCCTGCTGTTCCTTCTTCTTTCCTCCTCCTCCTCCTTCTTCTTCCTCTCTCTCTCTCTCTCTCTCTCTCTCATAACACGTGTTTTCCCCCAGCCAGAATACAATTGTATCCTGTCCTTATTTTTGATAGTTGACCATGATTACTGACTTGCTTTAGCTTAGCGAAGGTAAGGGGTACCTATCATGCCCTTAGGAATTTTTGCATTTGCTATATTTAATTGTCACAACAACTTTGTCAGAAAGAGATTATAATCCACTTTTAAGCAGGAGAGATAAGGCCAAGAGCTAAAACTCTTGGCCAAGCCCAGAATACTAGCTACGTTAAGTAAAATTAATTTAATAAAGTAAAATTAACTTGAATAATATATTTTATTTAACCTGATATACCCAAAATATTATCATTTAAACATGTAATCAATATGAAAAATACTAAGGGGAGATTTTATGTATATTTTCCTTGGAAAAGTTTGAGACAATACATCATGAGAATTAATTGAGACTCTTGTGTCTATGAGGTGCAAAAGCAATGGACAGGGGCATTATTAGAGAATGTTAAACCCTGGCAGCTCATTTAAAGTTTCAAGTCTCTGCAGCCTCCTAGTGGCCATTGGGTGCAGCAGAGGATTCACAGTTACTGACAAATTACTGGAGTCAGTAATGCCTTTGGTCAAGAATTGTATAGAGAAATAGGAAAAGGCTGGAGTTTTAGTCATTTTTCATATTTCAAATAAAAATTCCTCTTCCAGTAGGTATGTCAGAAAAATCTGATGAAAATCAAACGTATATTGTATTAGGAAAGTATTAACTACCATAGCATTTTCCTCCCCCTTTTTTTCTTTTCCTCCCTTCCTCCACCAAGATAGGAATATACTTTCTTCTTCTTGGGTGAGATAATTATTTGCCCTAAAACTTGTAAAGTCAGTGTATCCAGTGTGACTTCCAGAGAGAGGGCAGATGCCTGTCAAATTAAGTGAGTTGCCAAACATAGAGCAGGAAGAAAGCCATACCGAGAATCAATATTCCTTTGTTACTGGGTCTTCCACTTGCCAAAGGCATTGCCACAAAGCTGGAAAGAGCCCAGCTCCTAGGAGAACAGAGGTTCCACTTGGCCACTATCTCCTGTGGGGTGGTAGGCAAATTACTGCGGCCCCCAGGAGCTCGGTGAGGGAGGTTCAATGTGACACTGTGCTCTGATCCTATGAGAAAACTCCTGTGCTACCCGCCAGGCTGTGAGCTCCAGAGAGGATCTTGCCTCATTCTTAGCTTCAACAGTCATCTCAAGGCCTGACAACCAGCCTTCAAGAAGGAATCAAGGGGATTTGTGTGACCCGAAGATGGTAGTTTTGTCTGAGGATCTAGTGAACCGCTTGCTATAAAAACAGCTATTATCTGAGTTCTGCGTTGGCAGCTCAGGAGAGACGAAAGGAAAGGGAGAGGAGAGGTACGGCCACTATAGGTGATTAAAAAAGGCCTAAGGTTCTGAACGCTCATTTCCAAGATTGTGGGCAAGCAATTAAATGCTCTGCAACTCAGTTTCTGCATCTGTAAAACTGGAATTAAAATGTTTACCTTGCAGGGACTAGGGAGGTTGCACATGTTCAGACACCATTCTGAGAAAACGGAGTGACTGACAGGGGTCCGAAATGTATTTGTTGTAGCTGCAGAACAACTCTGCCAGACCAAGAACATCCATCCCTGTCTACCCCCCGATTCCCAGATTCTCCTGTGTGGACGGCGGGACTCCTAAGTTCCCAGGAATGCATTCAAATAATAGATGGGTCAGAGAATATTCTGTCTCAGGGGCCTAATACAAGCTCTTCTCAGATTTGCCAGTGTCGCGCTGCCACCCCCTCCCCACTCCCTCCTCCCTTCCCTTCGCCTCCAATTTTATTCTGGAACCTGTTTTTCCGAAGTCGGACCCGTTTAATCTCTTAAATGTATAATTAGGGAGAGTGCTTGATTGCAAAGGCCTCTTCCAGTTCTCACATTTGCTCCCTTTCACACTGCAGAGAAATAGGGCAGGGAATCTGGAGGAGGGGAAGGAACTAAAGACTGGAGAGGGACGGAGGGCGGATGGGGCGGGCTCACTGCTTTTCTCAATGAATGCCGAGGCCTCTGCAGATTTGCATAGGAGCCGACCGAGCCACGCCATTGGTTGGAGGGAGCGAGTGGGGCGGGTCGGGCCGCGGCGCGGAGTTGGCTCGTGAGCCCCGCCCCCTCCGGGCCCCGCCCCCTCCCTGCGCGCGCTCGCGCGGCTCCGCCAGCTGCAAGTGGCGGGCGCCCAGGCAGATGCGATCCAGCAGCTCTGGGGGCGGCAGCGGCTGTAGCAGCTGGTACCTCCCGCTGCCTCTGTTCGGAGGGTCGCGGGGCACCGATGTGCTTTCCGGCCGCCCTCTGGCCGGCCACCCAAAGCCGCGGGCGCTGATGATGGGTGAGGAGGGGGTGGCAAGATTTCGGGAGCCCCTGCCCTGAACGCCCTCAGCTGCTGCCGCCGGGGCTGCTCTGGTGCCTGCGAACTCTGAGGAACCGAGCGAGGCGCGGGCGACAACAAGGACGCTGCAAACTTGCGCAGCGCGGGGGTTCGGATTCACGCCCAGAAGTTCAGCGGGCAGAGCAGTCCGAAGCCTTCCCGCAGCGGAGAGATAGCTTGAGGGTGCGCGAGAAGGCAGCCCCTGTCGTCGGATCCCACCCAGACCGGGCAGAGGAGCTCAGAGGAGCCAAAAGGAACGCAGGAGGCGGCCAGGACAGCGTGCAGCAGCTGGGAGCCGCCGTTTTCAGTCTGAAAAGTTGCGGAGATTGGAGGCTGCCCCGAGAGGGGACAGACCCCAGCTCCGACCGCGGGGGGCAGGAGAGGACGGTACCCAACTGCCACCTCCCTTCAACCATAGTAGTTCCTCTGTGCGGAGCGCAGGGAGCTACAGACAGGGGAGCGGCACTCGGCGTGGCGAGCGGGAGACTCAAGGTCCCAGTCAGTGAGCCCAGCGTGCTTGAGGGTCTCTGGACTCGCCCCTGAGATTACAGCTGTGTTTCCTTGAGACTTCTGCTCGCCTCCGTGCAGTTGGGGGAAAGCAAGAGACTTGCCCTCACACACAGTCCTCTGGAGATCAGGTGAAAGGAGCCGCTGGGTACCGAGGACTGTTCAGAGCTTCTTCCCATCTAGGGGAGAGCGAAGGGCGAGGCTGGGCCTGGAGAGCAGTGTAAACGGCCTCCTCCGGCGGGATGGGAACCATCGGGCTCCTGTGGCTGCTGCCGCTGCTGCTTTCCACTGCAGCTTTGGGCTCTGGGACGGGGACCGGCCAGCGCACGGGATCCCCAGCTTCGGGGCCGCCGCTGCAGCCCCGGGAGCCGCTCAGCTACTCTCGCCTGCAGAGGAAGAGTCTGGCAGTGGACTTCGTAGTGCCCTCACTCTTCCGTGTCTACGCCCGGGACCTGCTGCTGCCGCCATCCCCCTCGGAGCTGAAGGCTGGCAGGCCCGAGGCGCGCGGCTCGCTCGCTCTGGACTGCGCCCCGCTGCTCAGGTTGCTGGGGCCGGCGCCCGGGGTCTCCTGGACAGCCGGCTCACCCACCCCGGCAGAGGCCCGGACGCTGTCCAGGGTGCTGAAGGGCGGCTCGGTGCGCAAGCTCCGGCGTGCCAAGCAGCTGGTGCTGGAGCTGGGCGAGGAGGCGATCTTGGAGGGTTGCGTCGGGCCCCCTGGGGAGGCGGCTGTGGGGCTGCTCCAGTTCAACCTCAGCGAGCTGTTCAGTTGGTGGATTCGCCAGGGCGAAGGGCGACTGAGGATCCGCCTGATGCCCGAGAAGAAGGCGTCGGAAGTGGGCAGAGAGGGAAGGCTGTCCGCGGCAATCCGCGCCTCCCAGCCCCGCCTTCTCTTCCAGATCTTCGGGACTGGTGAGCAGCTCCCCCCTAAGTGTGCTGGGATTTAGTGTTTTTAGTCACATTGACATGCAACCATTAAATAATCCTGACTTCCACCCCACTTTCTAAAACCTCAGCTCTGCTTCTTCGCCTCCCTTCCTCCTGCAAACCTCCTTCCTGAGTCAGATGGTAGTTTCTTGTTTTCTCCCTGAAAGCAGTTGAGGGGTCTTCCTTCCTCTTTAGCAACCAAGTTGGGAGAAAAGTTTCATACTCTTGGCAGAGCGCCTTCTTCTCTGGACTTATACGTAGTCCGAGACAAAATTGGGCGCCCCTCTTCCTGGGCCCCTGGGACTGTTGAAATGCCCCGATTACTTCTAGGTTCCAAGTTTAGTAGTAGATGTCAAAACTATTGCCCTTCTCTCCCCCTTGTTCCTGGCTGGCACAGATTTGGGAAATATGGTACACCTTCTCAGAGAATATAGAATTTCTCCTCATATTATGGAATCTCACCCAACTGTCCCCATGCCAAACGTTGGCTTGAGCAGGTATTGCCAGGGATTGCCTCCTCTTTATTTATTTATTCTCCCCCTCCTACCCCCACCCAGTCTGCTGCGCACTCTCTCTCAGACTCATCCTTTCTCTTACATGTTGTTGGGAGAGCCCCAGAGAAACTAAGGAACAGAGGACAGGAGGGAGGTGTGGAGGAAGGAAGGAAAGTTGTCAATATTATCTTCCTTTGGGGAGTCACTAAGAAGCCAGGGAGAAACCATCGTTGGTTTTCCTGCTTTTCTTACCTTTTCCCACTCCTCCTTTCCCCTCTGATTCTTAGCTTGAACGTCAGCAGCAGCTCCTGATGATAGTCTCTGGCAGGCTTGTTTCACTGCAGATCTCCCTGCTGGAGACTCCTAAAATGAGATTTTTCTGTTCCATTTACTCCCTCATTTCTTCCCATTTTCACTGAGTTGGGTGTGTGTGCAGGCACTTACTTCTGACTCTTTCCAGAGTATCCTTTGACTGGAAAACCAGGTAGTTTTGAATGGATATTCTTCTTGTAAGACAACTGGGGAAGACTTGTGAATAAAATATACAATACAAACGAATGAGAAAGGCACAGAAAAGAAATCAGGCTTTTAAAAAGCCAACACAGATTCCATCAAGCAAACCCAGCTTCTTTTCTATCATTCTCATCATCAGAAATAAATGAAGTTCTTATGCTCCACTGGCTACTAATGTCTAATATTAATTGGATGGAAAACATTGAAAAGGGCCCATTGTAGAGCTACAAGTATCTTGCATGCTTGTCCACACACACGTACACACCCACACCTGAGTATTCTCAAACAGCAGGGATATTCAGAAGCTGAGTTTCCCTAGTCATTGCACAGAAAACATACTAGTATGTGACCCCCAAGAAAAACAGGGTGCAGATGCACATTTCAGCATTAGTGTTAGTGGCACTGGCACCTAAAGTGAGCCCTTTTCATTTAGTGCTGGAATTTATATAGTCCATCCTAAGAGGCACTGATGAGTTTGATAGTGCCTTCAGTGAACTGAGATGGAAGACTGATACTGTTGTTCCACCCAAGATATTTTTATAAAGAACAGCTGGGCTTTAATGTCACTGTGTTTTGTGTGGTTTATACATGCAACATTCTGTTTTAGTGCCCAGTGTTTTAGTAATGGATATAAAAATGACTTCTCTGGAAATGCAGATTATCTTCTAGTTTCATGTCTATGAGCATCTCTGGAGCTTCCCCATCACCTTTTATCAAATGACCATAGAATCCAGCAGTCTATGTCAGCTCTTGTCAGATGTTGGTGACAGGCAAAATGGCTCATTTCTACAGCCCCACACCTGCCAACTATAAACAGGTAGGTTGCATGAAACTATCAGTGAGTGTCTCTGAAGAGTCACATACTTACTTCATTTAAAGAATATACTCCACTCAAGTCTTAAATAAGGTGCTGGAGCCGCTGAGTGGGGAGGTTTATGTAGAAAGGCCTGTGCTCCAAGGGCTTCTCTGCTATTGACTGTAGGAAGGCATTGTGGTCTTCCCAAGTCCTCCCTCAGTGGCCCAGTACGGTTGGCAGCTGGACCAAGCCCTTATGCACCATTTAACACATCTAGCAGTGCTGATTTCAGTAGGAGCCAGGATTCTGCCATTAAAAGGCAAGAAAATTTGGCCAAGCATTTTTCAGCAGGATTGGAATCAAATGATTATTGATAGGATTAAATAAGACACTAAGTGTAACTGGATGAGCTCCCCATGACCTCCAGAGAGACAGACAGCCTACTGAAAAGCACTTCAGGCCTTGTGGTGATCATACTTGGAACAGCCTGGTCTCTCCTGTCTCTGAGGACATATGCTGTCTGCAGTTAGGCAGCTGGCCATGCAAGACTAGCCTCTCTCACATTATCATTGCCTCCCCAGCCTCATTCAGATACAGTCTCCACTGCAGACATCCCCATGGAGTATAGATATACTTTGCTATACCTTGTTCTGTGTTTCGGACAACATATATCATTATGGTTCCATTCATTTTCCTTATGAAAATTCAAGGTTAAGTTCTGACACTGGGATTGATTTTGCTATTTATCATGTTTGGAGAAATGGGTTTATTCTTTTTATATAGGCTCTGATTTACAGAAAAAGCATTTAACTCTTCTATGATGTGAGCTCTTCATTTATACAGAGGGAAAGTAGGCATAGCTCAGCTTATTTTTTCCAGTGTCTGCCCAAGTGTCTTGTCTGGAGGTACACAATGATGCTGATGGGGCTATTTGTGGGGAGGGAAGAGCTGATTGTTCTTCCTTGTCTTGTAGTGAGGGGCCTGGAGCAGTCCATTTGGCCCAGACCAAAGATAGCTTCCTAAACCTGAGCAGGACCATGACTAAAATGGTAAAAGTGAAAAAGTGCCAGTTAGGAGAAAGCAAAACCTTTGCATTGCTTGTGATTTGGGCTGTCTGAGAGGACAGAAAGATGTCTGAGAGGCCTTATAATGCATGAAATGCTAATGGTTTTTCTTTGTGGGTTGCTGTGAATTCTTAAATGGGATCAGCATTTCAAGTCTGAGAGAGATCCCAAATTCACCCATTCATGGAGAAGAAGTGAAGAGGCAGTTTCTGGGACTGTATTAATGGTTCTGGCCTCTCCTAGGACAGCCCAAATCATAGAAAAGATGTCTGTCTGCAAGGCTGGCATGTTGCCCACAGCTCCAGTTTGTATCCTGGCTTACAGGTGTTTTGAGATCTGTTTCTGCCATCACCCAGGCAGAGGGCTAGGGGATGATGACTCATGGGATAGGAGGCCTATTTCCCTGTAAGCACTCCCTCCCACTCCAGGAAAGTGGATACATGACTTGGGATTTCACATGTACTACGGAGAGGCCTGAGCAATTTAGAGATGTATGCAATGCAATATACCTGATCTTTGACCTCCCATATCTGTCAGTTCCTTCCCATTTCATTTCTGGAGTGGGCAGAGAGAGCAAAGGAGGATAGAGAGGAAATTGGAGCTCCCAGAAGGGATATCAGTTATTGGAGGTGAATTGGGAGAATTGGAACTATATCCAGAGAAGAGCAGAGAGCTGATTTAACAGTTGAAGGGACTGATTTACGATGAAAGATGAAAAGAATTAAATATATATGGCTGGGCTAAATGGCAATGAAGGGAAAGCCATGGTAACAATCTACAAATCTCTGAAGAGAGAGTGGCAGTGAAGGAGAGGAGTTATTTAGCGTGGCCCATGGAAGTAATCGGATCATACTTGTAGAAGGAAACTTCGGGTTGGATATCAGGGAAACCTTGTTTTCTGACGTTGATATTCCTTTCTCTGACTATGGAATGGAATTCCAAGGGAGTGGGGAGTCAGGTGAGATGTGGGTCAGACAAGCCCCAGCATTCCTAATTAATCAGTTCTATATTTTCAAATATTGAGAAGTCACAACAGGACAGAGAGCTGGGATGCAGAATGGCAGAAGGAATCATGATCCAAACCCTGGAGGCTTTGGGCATTGGTGTTTTTAGAAGAAAATAAAATAATTGCATGTACATCTTTGAAGTTGGTGAGAAGCACTTAAAAAATTGTTAATGACAAATATTTTGAAATTACTGAATTTATTCTTCCCTGCCCTCCAATTAAACATAGATTATTTCTCTGAGGTGTGATCTGTATATCCAGGGGTTTGGGAGGCACACTCACCAGAGAATTGTGTATCTAAGATACATCTATGGGTGAGTGTATGTGACAAAACGTCACTGAGCAGGGCAGAAAGTGACCTGTGTCTTGAGAAGATGCCATCAGTTCTAGATTTGGTGGATTCCTACTGGCTACTTAAAAATCCCTTGAAATGTTGAGAATCTATATTGTCATTTGAAAGATGAAGTTCATTCACATCCAGTTTAGCATTTCAAAAATTTTCGAAAGAGAAAGAAGGTCCATGAAGGGTTTTTGTGTAAGGCATGGGAGGAGAGTGTGATTATTAATAAAAATGGATGTCTAGGCTGGGCGCAGTGGCTCATGCCTGTAATCCCAGCATTTTGGGAGGCTGAGGAGGGCAGATCACTTGAGGTCAGGAGTTTGAGATCAGCCTGACAAACATGGTGAAACCCTGTCTCTACTAAAAATACAAAAATTAGCCAGGCATGGTGGCATGCGCCTTAGTCCCAGCTACTCAGGAGAATTGCTGGAACCTGAGAGATGGAGGTTGCAGTGAGCCAAGATTGAGCCACCTCACTCCAGCCTGGGCAACAGTGAGAAAAGGATATCTATAAGGAAGTTGGTCTGCCGAAAGTCAGGAGGAACTGGCCTGCAGGTGGGAGGAGAAAAGAATGAGATTTGCTCAGCAGAAGTCTCAGTGCCCTGCCACTCAGGATCACTGTCTGGCAACCTCACAACATGAACATTTTCCCAGTCTGACCTGTAAAGGAAATTTTGCCTTTCTTTATAATCATTATTAGTGTGCTGTTATGGTTATATGGAACTTTACAATTTATAAAGCACTTTCACATTTGTTATTAGTTATTAATCCT